TATACTTCAAAAAAATAATAGATACTAAGAAATAATTCATGATATTTAAATTCAATTTTCGAAACTGCAACATTGTATATACCCAAAGTTATTTCAATATTCTGACAATTTACAATCTGCTTATGTCACAGCAATTGTCTGAGTTACTTAGCAACGATTGATATGATATTAATCTTACACAAGTCTTGGTCATTTCAACAAACAATACTTAATATGATAGTTTATACTTCAAAAAAAAATAGATACTAAGAAATAATTCATGATATTTAAATTCAATTTTCGAAACTGCAACATTGTATATATCCATAGTTATTTAAAAATTCTGACACTTTGCAATCTTGTTATGTCACAGCAATTGTCTCAGTTACTTAGCAACGATTGATATAACATTAATCTTACAGAAGTCTTGGTCATTTCAACAAACAATACTTAATATGATAGTTTATACTTCAAAAAGAAAAAGAAACCAAGAAATAATTCATGATATTTAAATTCAATTTTCGAAACTGCAACATTGTATATTTCAATATTCTGACAATTTACAATCTGGTTATGTCACAGCAATTGTCTCAGTTACTTAGCAACGATTGAAAAAACATTTGAATATAGTTTGATAGTCTGATATCTTCGCTTCAAATTATTGAAAATATTTGAATACTCTTCCTTTCTGAATGTTATTAATGATTTGATTTGTCTTGGATTGGTTATTCTCTGTGTGTTAACATTAAAAACTTTGCTTTTACTTCTCCTCAAAAAAAAATTGTGTTACAAAGTGTGTCATTGATGGATGGGAGATGTTAATTTTTTTTGTTGAATAAAGTATGTTGTTGATGGTCGTGATGATGATGATGATGAACAAGAAGGTGAAGGAATAACGTGTTTCTCACTCACCTAAATATTTACTAAACACACCGTGACGTGATGCGTAATTGTGCCTGGGCACGCGGACTGTTATGAACGTGGAGCTTCTTAAATCATGTGCGGATGCCTTCATGCGAGCAGATGTCTTGCTTTAGAAAAACCTGAGAAAAAAAGGAAGAGAGCGTAATTTGGAGTGACTTTCGAGTAAACCTCAAAACACCGTGTCAATACATCATCGCGATCATCAACGTGCTGAAAGAAAAACGAGAAGAGGAAATGTTGTACGAGTCTTATTTGCGTTGGGGTTTCGGTTTCAGCACGACGAAAATGGAGACGGACGGATCCGCCCAATTCCTGGAGCAGTCCAGATTCTGGATACAGCGCGTCTTCGTGCCGATCCTCGTGTTCATCGGGGTCGGTGGGAACGTGGTAACGGTGATGATATTAACAAGGCATTTGATGAAAACCCAAAAGCAAACCGATCGAACCCCATGTTTTTGATTGATTTCTCTTCGCATTTCTTGTTTGCAGGAGACGAATGCGCTGCACCACTAACATATATTTAACAGCCCTGGCGATTGCTGATCTGATCTATCTCCTCTTCGTCCTGCTGCTCTCCTTCGAGCATTACCCCAATATTCACAACAAGAAGTACGAGCTTTATTGGAGGTTCTACGGAATCACACATTGGATCTGCGATGCTGCCAGTGAGTTTCTTCAATTGCAAATTCGTTGAAATTATGAGCTTAATGTAATGTTTAATTTGCAGGTAGTACTTCAGTTTGGTTGATAGTCTCCTTCACCATCGAGCGTTACATCATCGTTTGCCATCCGTTGCGTGGTAAAGTCTACTGCACCGAAGGAAGAGCTAAAAACATCATCACACTCGTCTGTATTCTATGCATGATATCAACGGCTTCCACCACCTTCGAGTATCAATTGACGGTGAAGGAGCACTGCGTTCAAGAGATATGCGATAACGCTCCTCACTCCCATCATCACCATGCAACTCCCATAACCCTGAACGAAACGCAATCTAAATCAATGCAAGATCCCGAAGAGCCGCGCTCTAAAAGAGACTCGGAAGATTATTATTTCGACGTGTATCCCGGAAAACAGGCTTTAAGCGAATCGAAATCCGAGCGCGAGAAACGCTCTAAATTGGAATGCACCGAATCGGAGAGCGTTGAAATCGAAGAGAACATCACGCTGGAGTTGTGCGATGGCAACAAATGCACCAAAAACGAGACCTGCTGCAAGAAGAGCTACACCATCTTCACGGAGCCGACGGAACTAGGCAAAAACGAGACTTACACAACGATCTTCTATTGGTTCTCATCGATAACTTACGGATTGCTTCCGTTCGTTCTCATAGCCTCCTTCAACTGTTTCCTCATCAAAGCAGTCTTCGAATCCACGAGAATGAGGAAAGGCATGATGACTGCAGCTGTAAGCAATCGATCAATTAATTATCAACAACAAATTAATTTAATGTAATTTTAATCAAAAAAAAAAGGAATCCTCGAAGCAACGCAACGAAAACAGAATCACGATCCTGCTGATAGGCATCATAATATTATTCCTGATATGCCAAACGCCGACGGCTTTCTTCCTGATCTACGACGCCCTCGACGACGCCAACATGGACAGCAACATCAAGAGAGGTAACAACGCAATAATCAATTGTTTCGTTTTGTTAATTATTCGTTTGTATTTTGTTTTGCAGCGTTAGGCAACATCTTCAACCTGCTGATCAATCTGAACGCCTCCTGCAACTTCCTGATGTACTGCGTCCTCTCCGATAACTATCGGAGGACCTTCAAGTTGTTCTTCTGCTCGAGGAATCTGAACAGAGAGGACACCTCGGTGACGACGTACGCCTTGAGTCGCAGCAGTCGTTACAACAATGCCGCCAACAACGGCTTCAGGAGGAACATCAGCGAGTACAGGACACCGCGCAACGTCGAGGTAACTATCTACTTGTTTCACAGGGAGAAGTACATCAAGACCTACAACGTGTGCGTACGCATCTGAGGACGTATCTTCGTAATTACCCCAATTGCTAGACAACAACAACAACAACAAAAAATACAATATCCGATTAGTTATGCAAGCATGCGTTTTATTTACTGCACATCACATTTAACAAACAGCTGAATGTTATACAACAATAAACAAGATAAAGGAAATGACATGCACTGAAAATAACCAAATTAGAAAAAAAAAAATAATAGATACAAAACATTTCCTTATAACAAATAGATTAGAAATTGAGAAATATCTAAATTATGAAATGCATGATTTTCCAAAATAGGCAAAATTTCTAAATGATTATATTCTATCAAAGTATAGTGAACGAAATCTTAAATTAGCAGAAATTTCGAATAGATTTCATTGTTGAAAAGTGACAAAGAATTGGGATTAGAAGTATGAAGGTAATCTGTAGTTAATTAATTGTAAGATTATGATCTTAATAACAAAAAGGCTTGCATCTGAATTAATCAATTAATCTTGTAGATAGTTGAATTCTTGTGTTTAACACCTTGTTTTGTTGCAGACCCAAAGCCTGAACAGCGTGCCGCGTTCAAAGTCTTTGATGACTAGGCCGATAGGCAAAGCAAAATCGACGGATCTGAACGTTTGAGAAATACCCAAGTATTATACAAATTCAAACAAACAAAACAAAAAAAAAGAAGCAGAAACACATAATTTGTACATACTTTTTGTTGTATATTTCCCTCTCGTTTAATTTGTGTATGAGTTTAATTAACTGTGTATAGTGTAAATGTAATAAATAATAACAAAGTGAAAATAAATATGTATATAATATTACAACAAAAAAACAAGTTGGCGTTGACTTAAATAAGTAAATTACGTTTGGATGGTTGCAGCAAGTTAAGTATGTTTTTTTGAATTTCGTTGTAAGGTTATGCA